TCTCTTGTCTGCTTAATTTGTCTTGGAATAACAAGGAAACAGGCCTCAACTGGTCATGATACTGGTTGTCAATCAATTGTTCAGTTACCTTTGAGCTTCTGAAAACAGAGGACTACTCTGACTAAAAAAAGGCTGTAATTTGTAATCAGTCAAAGTAATACTTTTTTTAAGCCTTTGAATTAAAACTGAAAATCTGCACTTCAGTCATATCTTGATCGTTTAATTTAAAACCCACTGATGATTGCAGTGATGCAAAAATGACCGAAGTTGCCTACTTGTTATACTAACTACCACTTGAGTGTCATAATTTCAGCTGTAGCACCTTTCTCAAGAGCCAATCAATAGCATGGTTATTGTTTCTCAAATAAAATGTTTTCTTTTGATTTTGGAGGTGAAACTTGCAAGTCAGATGGTTTCCTTTTAAATCCTTTCCCACAGTAAAGCTTTTTTTTCTGATGCGTCAGTTTCAGCGGTTTGTTGCCGCTGGAAGATGTTTGACCTCGCGAAGCTGCCCTCAGTCATGTGACCCCACCCGGCCCCCAGCTGTGTATTTCTGTGTGAGATGGTTTGTCCCATTTTTAGCCCCAGACCACAGGATCGCGCCACTGCTGTTTGCCGACGAGGGGGGATTTTCCATGGAGGCAGAAAGCTGGCTGCTGGAGTGTAACCACAAACCTCCTGGGGGGAGATGGACATAGAGAGGGTGAGAGAGAGGACAACAAAGGAAGAGACCCAGGAGCAAAAATAGAGAGCGAGAGGGACAGAGAGAATAAAGGGAGTATTATTTACGCGTCCTCTCAGCAGATACTAAACTTATACTTGACCGGGAGACTGGAATTCCTCTGAGGCGCATGGGGGAAAAATGCAGCGTCAGGACATTTGCTTGTGTGTCTGTGTGTACAGTATAATGAAGGAGGAGAAACCTAAAATTTAAGACCCTAGGAGAGAGAGAGCTATATTGTTACTCAGTTGGTGCATTCTTGGCATCTCCACTCTGACCTTTCCGAGTGCTTCAAGGGAAGCCTGAAAAGGAGTCAAGGTCAGGCTTTGACACCGCGGCCAGTGTAGAGATCAGAGCTGCTTTTACAAATAGACACTCAGAAATTTTTAATTTGCTGTGAAAACCACTTAGAATGTTTGAGAATTGCTAAACTGTAACTGAATGTCAAAACTTTCTGATTCCCTACAGACACAGAAACTAAGGCCATTTTAAGACATGTACAGCAGCCTCGAACTTTTCTGAACCTCTTTGAAGAAGGTGCATGTGTGATATTTGTGGATATATACAGCAGATAGATTGGGAATAATCTGTTGTTTTTGCCTGCTAATTCTCCAGTGCAAAGACTTCGTGATGTCCAACTGCACACATAAGAGAATGGTGCGGTCATTGTCCGGTGAATTCACAGCCAGTGAGTGGGCCTCATGCGTCCTGCTTAAATTCACTTTTAAACATGATATTTAGTAAATGAAAGAATCCGTCACATGGATTCAAATTTTAAATATTTTAATTTAATGGTAAGCTTGTGAAAACTCGCAATGACATACTTAGGAGTTATTTTTCAATTGTCTTTTTATTATTTGCAAGCTTCCCTCGTTTCGCTCCACTTAATTTGCGACCTTGATTAGAAATGAATCCGGTTTCATTGTTCGTGCACCACATGTTAGCTAGCAAGAGACCTTGAAACTGCTTAATAGCACTGTGGCCAGACTGGACAATTTTCTCCAGTTTCATTCAGAAGCATTGACTGAGATAAACAAAGTCTACATGTTTGTATTGCACCGTAGTGTACATATATAATCACCCCAGATTAATCGTGATCAGCTCATTAGTCCAAATGCACTTTGTGGTTCTTCAGAAGGCTGTAAGCTGCAGTGAGTATGGGTATGTCACTTGTTTGTAGCCTGTGTAGCTTTCAGGGACTTTAGAAATTATGCATATTGGCTGCATTATTATATAATCATTTGGTGTTATGCAAGCGTCTGATTAAAGCCTGGCAAGCCACAAAAGTCATGCTACCGTTGATGATTGATGGAAACATTACCACTTACTGATTTCCTTGCTGTTTTTTCTTTTTAGATTCATTCGTTTATTTGTAAGGTGGTTGTTTTGAAATGTATATATGAACTGTAAAAAGGACAAAAAATCCAGCAGCAGCCATCACTTAGCTCTGTCTGCTCTTCAGTCTGGCTGTAAAGCCACAAGATCAGCTAATCAGGCTGGGAAAAACAAAAGTGATGCTAATCAGTGTGGGCCACTCCACTTATTGATCTGATAAAGATTGTTTTCTGTAAATGATGCAGTGTTGTTACTTACTGGCATGTATGCTACATACACATCCTGTCTCTCAGACAATGAGAAGTTTAATACTGAACACTGAAATTCTGCTGTAATCTGAAGGTCACTTATTGTTTTCCTTTGTCGAAATGTATATACTCATTTATTTGAGACATTTGCAGCTCAGAAGGTAGAGCAGAGGGCTAAACTACAAAAAACTCAGCCGATCATTCTGTCTTAGCTGAAGCAACTTAAGAAGTTATCAACTTCCTCTGTTAAACCAATCTTTCCGCTTCAGGTTCTCACATAAAAATGGCATTTCATATGATTGTTTCTGCACTAAATGATCCCACCTACAAAGCCAAAGATGCTGTCAAATGTTGATGATAAAATGGTGAACTTAAAAAAAGAAGAAGCTGGACTTGTTGTGGCCTTCTCTTGAACTTTATTCCAGGAAAAAAAAAACCTGCATCAGTGATGATCAAGGAGAGGAAAGAGCTGAACCAGGAAGTGAACATTTTGTACATCTGTGTCTTAAACCTGATTACAGATATGAAGAGATGCATGACGAACGTGGTGCGCATTAGCATTCGTAACTTCTGGCCCACGC